CCCCAAAACCCCAAAACCCCAAAACCCCAAGCTGGTGATCAAAGATTGATAACTAGATATTTATATTAAGTTATTCTTGTTTTCAGGAAATATAATTTTAATGAATATGCATCTAAAATTCCTGAGATCCTCCTAGATCTTCAAAATAGTGTGAATGAACCTCCCTCAAAGAGGTCTAAAGTATAAATTTGAGGCCTAAAGATGGTCTCATATACTTCTGATGAACGGTTAAGTGTAGAAAACTTTATTTTTAGTTGAGTGTACAATAACAGTAACTCGTCAAAATGTACGCTTAAGAGAAGTTACAAGATTGAAAAGTCTGTCTCTGCTGTAGGTCAAGACTTACCAAGTAGTTTAGAATTTATTAAGATCATTTTACGTCTCAATTAGTCCACGGAATTTTCGATAATAAGTACTTGAAGTTTAAACCACACAATCTCATATCAATATGGGCAAAATTTTGTAGTAAAATAATCTAGTCATGGAACTAAAGCTGGTCAAAATCCTTACTCTTTGAATACATGTAGCTAAGATTTATGAGCACGCTTGTGCTCTAATTTAGGTACATTGCAAATCAAATTTGGAAAATGGATTACCAGTAGAAATATAGGCCTCTATTAGGCATTCGAACGAATCTTGTAAGGTATCAAATAGGTTGTATTCAAGAAGTACCCTTTCTATATTATTTATTTGGCCTATAAGAAGACAATTTTTAGGAACTCTTTTGCATGCTTGATCTATAAATCCCTTAAAAGTGCTATAAGATCTTGTAAAGGCTAAGTTTAACCCTTCTAATCTTTTAGGAGGAAAATGGTAAAATCTAATGTAGAGATAGGATTTAAGAATATATTATTAAGAATAAAGTTATAAGGAAGATTAGGAGCTTGGGTCGATATCTTTCATGGAAATATGGTCTCCATACCTCCAGCTACTCCGCCTAGGAGCTTCATCAATGTGTGCTTGTGGGGTATCCATTTGATTACACATCTGAGGTTGTTGGACTCCTAAGGAATTCCTTTTAAGGTTTGACCTCATGTTCATCGCAATTTTAAGCAAATCCCTGATATCATCATTAAGAGTCTTCCTCTTCTTTGGAGAGACTTCTGGGTGGTTTTCCATGTTGGAAGCCACCAGCTGCCTCTCATTCTTTCTGAAAGTGAACTTTAGAACTTTAGTTTTGAGATCCTTCTGAAAGGGTGAATTCTGCATATTTGAGGACAATGCTGGACTAGTCTTCACTGGTGAAGGAGTTGCTGCTTCATCCAGTAAGAAATCTGACAAGTTCTCTTCTGATTCAGAGTAAATAGCTGTATTCATTTAATTTATTATTTCTTGTGTTTATTAAAGTACTCTTCTATATATACTAGCCTATTGGGGTTTTGGGGTTTTGGGGTTTTGGGGTTTTGGG